TAAGTCAATACTTTCATCCAATTTGTAGAAATTTCGGATTGATATAATTCACTTGGGCAAAAATGAATTGGAGTTTGATATGGTTGGTGTTGATGCTGCTATTGCAAATGCACTGAGAAGGATTCTGCTAGCCGAGGTATGACTTGATCATTTTTTATTGTGATCACTAATGATGTAGCAATACAATGGCAAGCAACTGACCACAGGGAGCTTAAGCAAATGTGTTTTTGAGTGATGCACATCAATGGGAAGTGGACTTTTTGCATTATTGAATAGTGCCTTTGCCAAAATTTTGGGCAATTTGTCTTTATGAGAGTTTGCCTCAAGGCATTTTAAAGTGGAAAACACTTTACTTCCGTTTGACGCATGTTGCTCAAAAATGCTGTTGCTCAAGTTGCCCAATGCCCCACCCCTCTCCGCTTACCGCGTCATTGTTCACCCAGTCTTTGACTCTCGTTCCTCATTCTTTGCTCCAAAACTGCACAGAAACGTTTGCTATGCACACTAAATGATTATAAACAAGCAGCCCTGGCGCAAGTCAAGCTCATTTTGTACTCTGGGTGAGTAGAATTGCAGTGTTGCTATTGATACCTTTCTCAGCATCCAGATTTTCTTAAGTCTGGTTCAGAAAGGATTGTCATTTAGATCATAATACAAAATACATCTGGACAGCAAAAAAGGGCTAATGTAACCCCACAATCAAATTTTCTTTTCTTTTTGAGGAGAGATAGGGATGCCTAATCAGTACACTTTTTTTCCGAGCCACCCACTGTCCACTGCTTTATGCTGAATGGGTTTGGGCCAGCTAGGCAAGTTATCTTAATTCCAGGGACAATATATCGCAAACGAGGATTCTCTGCTCTGTGCGAGCAAAAGTTGAGAACTTGAAATACAGTCAAGCTTTCCTAACAGACAGTCTCTTGTAAGTGGACTTACAGTACGAGAGAAGGCTCTACTTACAGCCGCCTTCACAAAACCCCATTTTAATCAATTACCATACTAACTTTGTATTTTTTCATTCTCGTAAGCGGTCAGCTCCTGTTGATGCCGACACACAAGAGGAGTGTTGCTCCTGGAGCATGCTCCAGGCTCATTTTGCACGTGCCAGTATACACATGAGGGAGCATTTTCAAGTTCACTCAATTTGCCCTGGGAGCTTGCTCCCAAATATTTAACCTGTTAAATATCATGGAGCATTTTGCGGGGTGGAAATTCTGCTCCTGAGGATGAAGTATACCCATGAAATCATTGGTACACACAGAGGAACTTTATGAATACCTTTTTGGCATTTCAATGGTGTCCACTAGCAAGAGCTTCCACTGTAAACATTTTTTTTAAGCTCTACCATGATAATATTCATACATACATGTATTTCAGTGCCTTTTAGATGTTGTGATAGTGATTGATGATCTTTCTTTCAGGTTCCAACCATGGGAATTGAGAAAGTCTTCATTTATAATAATACATCAATCATACAAGATGAGGTCAGCTGATCATTAAAATAATATCTTTATAGACGCTTTTAAATACTTCTACAATCTTTGCTAGGGATGTAGCTGAGGAAAAATTAAGCAGGCTTTATTATACTTCCAGCTGGCTTTTTGACTCAACTGCAACTTCAAAATTACTCCATGTCTTTGTTTTCCAGAACAATTTGTGCTAGTGGTGAGCTCTTTTACAGCTGGTAAAATCAGCCGACATCCAGCTCTTAGCAACATCCCAGCCCTGCAACAAATCCTCAGCCTTAGTGGTCTTAGGCCAAATTAAAGTATTGTTTCTTTGATCCATACAATGTACTATATTCAATTAGTAGGTTAAGTATGTTAAAGAGGACATTAGTTTATCTACCCATGTTACACAAGTGACATGCTAGAATTCAAGAATTCAAGTCTTGATGAAGACCAGGTTCATTACATAACTAAATACAGACAAGAGTGCTTTCACAGTCAGGATGACTTTTGAGCATTACAACCTTCATGATTTGACTACAGGAAATTTACATGAAACCTCCCTTTCTTTTTGTAGGTGTTGGCACATCGACTAGGGTTGATCCCAATCTGTGCAGATCCAAGAGAATTTGATTTCAGATCAGAAGGTACATGTATGCTACAGATTAACAATATTATAACCTTGTAGATTTAATTACAGGTTTTGATCTGTACTCAGCCTTTTCTAAGCTCTCAAGTCATAGGGTTGTTGAGGAAAAAAGGAGAAGCAAAAGATATTTGTTTCAAACACTTGCATCTGGGAAAGGGGGCCAGTGGCACATTTTTGGTAGACTTTTTGCACTAGTTATTGAGCTGCACAATAATCGCCAACTACCTTTGAGCCTGGAATAGACTTTATGATCTTTCTTGGACAGGGCTCTTATTGCTCTGACTGCTTCAAATTGAAGAGTTGAGATCATGACATTAAATTGCTATTTTCTAACATTTATTACTATTGTATTACTATTTTCTGTTGACCTAATTAGAGTCATTTACAAAATTACAGCTGAATCGAAAGAAGCTTGGGTTATTTCAGTAGATATAGTTTTCAGTGCCATGTGGTAGAGTGTAAGCAACTTTCTGTAAAATTACAATATTATTATTATATGCCCTAAATTTTTGGCCCCAGTTGTTCAAATGGTTGCCAGTGTTATCCTCTGGATAAATATCTGTATGGTGGATAATGCAGTTGGTTACCATAATACTAATCTGCTGGATGGCAATTTATTCGGTGGATTTTGCCATCCAATGTTAGAACAACCGAGGCCCGGTTAGGCCAGCCATTTTTTCCCTTTCTTGCTCCTCACTGAACAAAGTTAAGACAACACTATATACATGTAATTATAATCTTGTATGACAAATATGAAACATTATAGAGTACTAAAGTGTGGCATCATAAAAATGAAATTTCTGAAATCATGGGATTTACCAAGATATTCTAAAAGAACAATGTCCAAGAGGCCTACTTGCCAAAAATGAGCATTTTGGCCAGGCAAATTGTCTCTGAGATTGTAGCCCAGTTATGCTTAGAAAACTCCATACAAACCCTTTTAAATTTTTTTGTATGGAATTTTCTGAGTATAACCGGCTAACATCTCAGGGACAATTTGCCCCGAAATGCTCATTTTTGGCACATGTAAAGTAGGCCTCTTGGACATTGTTCTTTCAGAATATCCTGACAAATCCCATAATTTCAGAAATTTCATTTTTATGACATCATCACTTTAGTACTCTATTGGTGCATTTGCATAAATTTTTTACCAAAATGTTTTGGTGTGATACAGGAGATGAAGAGGCAAAGGAGAATACCACTTTACAGTTTAATCTAAAAGTTAAATGCATTAAAAACAAGAATGCACCAAAGAATGCTACGGATCCTGATGAGTTATACATTCACTCAAAAGGTGATAATATTATTCTGTTCTTGTTACCTTTTGTTTTGATTTAATTTTGTCCTTTATTATTTTGTTTAAAGGTTATTTTTCAGGGGTTCAGACTCATTTTCATACATTACCACATCCAAGAACAAAGAAACCAAATTGAACCAAGGACAAGATTGAACAAAAATATTGGGGGTTAAAAAAGGTGTATTTCTGCACAANCGAAATGCTCATTTTTGGCACATGTAAAGTAGGCCTCTTGGACATTGTTCTTTCAGAATATCCTGACAAATCCCATAATTTCAGAAATTTCATTTTTATGACATCATCACTTTAGTACTCTATTGGTGCATTTGCATAAATTTTTTACCAAAATGTTTTGGTGTGATACAGGAGATGAAGAGGCAAAGGAGAATACCACTTTACAGTTTAATCTAAAAGTTAAATGCATTAAAAACAAGAATGCACCAAAGAATGCTACGGATCCTGATGAGTTATACATTCACTCAAAAGGTGATAATATTATTCTGTTCTTGTTACCTTTTGTTTTGATTTAATTTTGTCCTTTATTATTTTGTTTAAAGGTTATTTTTCAGGGGTTCAGACTCATTTTCATACATTACCACATCCAAGAACAAAGAAACCAAATTGAACCAAGGACAAGATTGAACAAAAATATTGGGGGTTAAAAAAGGTGTATTTCTGCACAATGTGAAATTGGTGAATTGAAGAAGATGGGGATAAAAGAAAATGGTAGCCTAAATCAACTAGCATAAATGCAAAATAACAATGACAATGATCAGTGTGTAAAGGATGATTTTGCTCCAAATTACAGTGACGACAGATCTGCTAAAGTGGATACCAGTTGGAAATCAGGCCAGAAAGGTAACAAACCGTACTAATACTTAATCATGCAGGTGTTAAACCCTAAAAGGGTAGGTCTGTGGACTTTGGTTTGACAGGTGATTCTGGCAGTCTAAATGATTCAATCACATAAATACATGTACTTAAGTACATGTATGACTGACCCCTGCTCTTTAACTATTATACTTAGCTGTATGTTGAGGTGCAATTTTATCCTTGGTTTATATGTTATTTCCCTTTGCTTTAAACTCATTATCATACATGACTATACCCAAACACAAAGGGAAACTAAATTTAAACCAAGGATGAAATTAAACAATGCCATTGTATACATGTATGTCAGCAAAGGTTTTTATTATTAATTTTAGTCAAGTATTTTCCACTTTTTGAAGAGTTTAAAGCTTTGGCTTACAGTGTAGGATAGATGTTTGCAAGGGTCAATTCGTCTTTGTTCTCAACTTTATGTGTAACCCCCACATCTGAAGCCCAGACATTCAGCATGTGCAGTGCGCGGCAGGTACAAAACGCAGGTCACAGGTCACAGGTCAGGGCACAGGTCACAGGGCAAGGTCACAGGGCACAGGGCACAGGGCACAGGTCATAGGGCACAGGGCACAGGGCGCAGGGCACAGGGTACAGGGCACAGGTCATAGGGCACAGAAAACGCAGTAAAAACAGTTAAGACACTCCATTAGGCTTTTTTGTTTTATTTCCGGTTACGCCACAATCAGGCATATGCTTGCC